CCAAAATTAGAATTAAAGTTATGAGGACTAAAATAACTTATTTTGAAACTTTTTATATTAAGGGTATTTTAGGTAGTTTATCTGTTTGAATAGTGAAATGGGTTAGTTTGGGGTTAGTTTGGAATTTTGGCTTTGAATTTGGGTCATTTGCTTGTATTTCCCCTTTGCTCTAGGAATAGGACATAAACAGGCATGGGTTAGTTGGATACGCATGCCTTTAAATTGGACTTTATGTGAGTTTTTTTCCATTCTAATCCATTTTTCAGATGGGCCTCAATGGAATAAGTAATAAATAAAAAAAGGGAAATTACAGCAGCAGTCCCTAACCTTTTCATTTTTTGTAGACTTCACCCTAACATTTCATAAATATGTAGTTGGGGTCCCTCTGGACAGAAACTGTCCAAAACATCGTCAATTGATTTGGAAAATTAAAAAATCAGGTATATTGATCATTTTAAAGAGGGGCAATTTCGTCCAATCACTATTAATCATTTGATACTGTTGAAATCACTATACATTTTCCTCCACATCATTGAATAATAATATTCTTTCTCCCTTCAATAACTGGCAAACGCTTTTCAGAGGGGAGATGGAAATGAATGTCTGTAGATGTGGGTTCCCTATGGAGATGAAGACTTCATGGACGAATTTGAACCCAGGATGAAATTTTATCAGCCGCCCACGACGTAAAGACGTGGGTAGATGTAATTTCTTCAACTGTGTTGACCCGTCAATGTATGAGAGATCGAAAAAGCTGATTCCTGGACTTCTACGAGCTAGGAGGGATATGGAACATGAGATAAACACCCACCATTCAAGAGGTCGTACAGCATGGAAAACTTTGCTGTGTAGTTTTAGTGAAATGGGTCTATACCTGGATCCGGGTTAGGTATGAGCTAAGATGTTGGGGTTTTGTGTTGTGATGTGAGTCTCACAATGAAAAATCGTGTGTTCTGTTATCTTCTTACTTATTTCCTAGTAAAAAAACATGTTATTATTCAACCGTGCTTCGATGTTTTGTTTCTCATATTTTCCTCCTCTGCTGAGACTGAATGATTCATAAATAAAAGGAAAATTTTGTTAGAAAAATGTTAAGATGACGGTGCAGCGACTATCCCCAATAAATTGCACAAGTCCCAGAGGCAGTCTCAAATATTTTTCAATTGTCGCAGAAGAAGCCCCAAACTTTTTGAACCAATTACACCGGAAGTCACAAACCTTTAAAAGAAGTTGCGATGAAAGTACAAAGCATTTCAATCAGTTATATCTCATGTCCTCAACCCTTTATAAAGTTCCTAGACAATGTTCAATGTAAATACGACCATTTCCACTTCCAATAAATATATATATATATAACATAAAATCTCATGTATGACACTGAAATAAGGATTACAATGTTGAAAATTCTTTCATCTTCACCTAAAATGTACATCATCAAAAGATCAGTTCAAGTTAATTCATTACAAAAGATCATATACAACACAAAAATTAGTAGAAGAAAACACAGAAGCGGTACAAGCTAAGTTCTTTTTCTTTGCCATTCTTCTGCACCTGTACCTGAGACTCATTCGATGTGGATGCTTTTCTCTTGCCTTGTGATGTTGGCAGTGATTGTTGCTGAGTATCTACTTGTGAACTTGAAGAGGAACTTGCATCTATCGACAATGATGTTATGCATGTTCTCCTATTATGGCCCGTTCCCCCACATTTTCTACATGTCATCTTCATACCCGTTTTTACATTTTTTATTCCTAAAGGTGT